CAAAACATCTACATACAGATACAAAACGGAAAGAAAGATACATAAACAGACTACGGAGAGACACAAAACAACAATAAAGTATGCCATGATGTCTGCACGCATTGATCCATGTCAGGGGAGGCCAGACTCAATATCAGTGACTGAGTGACATTTAAAGAGTAATATTGGACATTCTAACGCTTGAAATCCCCTTGAATGTGTTTCCTGTTAAAGGGACCAAGGTTGAAAAATGGAAACAAAACCCTTTATCCTATTGTTCAATCCCTCCAGTTTAGTTTAAGCCTGAATACACAGTTTGTAAAAGTTACTGTGGTTTAATTTTTACTGTGATGTGTATTATATGTATATTGTGATATCAACAAAGTTTTTGAGAAGATACACTCTTTATCAAGAATAAATCACATTGTCACCATCATTTCATGGGAAGTGGTAAAAAAATATATTTTATTCTAACTGTATGGGCAACAGTGTAGATGAACTACACAAGGATGTAAAGTGATGACAAAATTTTTTTTTTAAATTAAAATGACTAGAAAAATGACAGAAAATACATACACAATGATGATCAAAACCAAAACAACCACACAGGGACACAAATGACCACAAAAATAAACAAACTGTTTGAAAGTCTTGCAAAAGAGACAGCTACAGAGAGATACAAGTGACGACAAAGAGGCATAAAATTACCACAAAGAGATGCAAAACAACAAAAAGCAGAAAAACAACTACAAAGGGCTACAAAACAACTATATAGAGATGTAAAGTGAATAGAAATACACAGATTACAAACAGCAAAAAGTCACCAAATACCAAAACCATTCAGAACATGACAATGCAAAACAACAACAAAATGATGCAAAATGATATAAAGAGACAAAAGGTGACTGCAGAATGTTCTGTTTTTTTGGTTCTGTCATCTGTGGTTGGGCTTTTCCATGTCCCTGCCGAGGGTCTGTTTATAATCTGTCTGTGGGTGTTATTATTACTCGCATATATTAACAACAGTACAAATCTGGGATGTAACCATTAAAAATCTGGGACTATCATATTAAAAAATGTTGATGCCTGACTTTTTACATGGAAGATACACCACAACATGTGAGTGGCCTCCATCCTAAACACAGGCCCAGTATAATAACTGATCCATTGATATTTTATTCAGTTTTCGCCTGAAGGAGGGGAAAAAGCTTGTGACTGTGAGGTCACTGGTTCAAATTTTTGAAGCAGCTGAGGAGATCTGCTCGAAGCAGGCCAGGGAGCGCTGCACAAGGGAAGCATGAGCATTTAGAGTGGAGATCCCTGGTATTAAACAGAATGAAGGAAAGTCATTGCGTGAAAAGTTTGCATTACTTTAAAAAAATCAAGTTAAAATCAAAAAGAAAAGGATCTAACAAGCAGAAGAATGAACAAAGTTTTAAAAAGATGATTGTGTTTTAAAAGCTGTTCTATCTCTTATGTGTTGCTACAGAGGTCAGAGGTCAAGTTCTGCTCTAACAAAGTTGCCACCATTATAGCTATATACTTTCTTTTCCTGAACCTGTTGAGTGATTTATAATCAAATCTTCTTTTTATCCTGCGCCATGAACTAATCACATTTCTCCTACAGTGATTCTGATTTTGTCAGTGCTGAATTGATGTTTTCAGAAGTTGCAAAGACAAGTTTATGACAATAAAACATTCTGCTGCTGTCATGTAAACCTATCAGAGGTTCATCACAAGTGAAGGACCAAACACACATGACTGAGTACGCAATAGATAAGATAAGAGAGCCTGGTGCCCACAGACAAGGTGGAGCACTGCACAATTCATACATGGCAAAAGTACAGAAAATTAGGTGTTGAAATATGTATTGATGCAAACCACAGCATATTTACAAAACTTTGAGACCTGGCAACACTTTTCAGGACAGTTTAAGAGAATTTGGAACAAGTCAAATTACATTTGGCTTCAGAAAAACACAAACAAATAAAAGAACAAAGATGTCCACAGCGTCATTTCCTTAAAACAGTGAGTTTTCCTCTGTAACCAATTTACCCACGAACATTTAACCAACATTAAGGGAACAGCTTATTATCACTTTAGACTGATGTGCTCAGTAGGTGTGAATAGGCTTTATAGTAGCACAAACCGAATCCATGACAAGTGACACAAAATGCATCAAGACACATCTTTTCTTAAACAGTTGAAATCCTGAAGAAAAATAAGTATTTTCTGTTTGCAGCTACAGGCAACTTTTAGAATTTCACGGGAAAAATGACTTATGCCCTCAGAGACGTTATTATCGATGAGGTGTCTATGCTCAGGAAGGATGAGTCACATTAAAAGTGAAACCCATGCTGGATTACATATTGTTGCTCTTGTAAGGAAAGAATAAGAACAAGAAAGCCTGTGGTGCCATCATGTGTCCTCCAGCCAGACGACAGCTGAAACTCTGACCGTGTGAGTTGTAGGAAACAGGACAGAGGGAAGGTTGTTCTGGTCCTGTAGTAAATGTGTGGTGGAGGAACTGGGCCCTGTATCATGTCCAGTTTGGTTTGAATTAGACTCATTGACATGGATCACACGCATAAACTGTAAATGTGTTTCAGAAAAAAATAAAAACATGTTGAAATTAGACCGTCCTCCTTTAGGTAAACGATTCATAACCTAAATAAGCTAACAATATCAAATTATTACTATACTAACAGCAGAGTATGTGTCTGAAATTAAATCATGTATAGAACAAACATGTTGGCTTGGAAAGTCTGAATTCACAAAAGCACAGAATCAAATCAGTTCTGTGCTATTCTGTTTCCAGTGTCCCGGATGGCTCTGGCTCCGGTGGTAGAGAAGGTTGCCTATCCAATCCCGACTCCTCCATGTGGTAGGTGTCCTTGGGCAAGACACTGAACCCCAAGTTGCTCCCAGTGCAGGCGAGCATCCTGCACGGCAGCTTGGACACCACTGGTGTGTGAATAGGTGACCGGAACACCTGGTAAAGCACTTTGAGTACCACTCAGGGAGAAAAGTACTATGTAAGTGCAGACCATTTACCAGTGTGTCTTCATAGGTGATTCTTTAAAACTATCCTCTTTGTCACCGTGTTACTGTTTAAATTAAAATGATTGCAGTTCTATTGTGGTTCCTGCTAAATGTCACACAGTTGACATTAAATGACTTGTATACAGACTTAAATTGAATTTCTTTATCTATCTATCTAGCAGGACCATTTTAGCCAGACATTCATGCAATTCAAATGTCACCTTTTTGACTCCACCCAACTGCAACGACTGTGCATGAGTGTCACTGTTATTTTTTTCCCTACATTTAGTCAAATTTAACATCCCCTGTAGGGTTTACCCAAGTAACTGATCTTCTGAGTAAGAAAGTCTCTTACTACAGCTTCTGTCACTGTTGTGCTAAGGTGCAGGTCTTATCAGTGTCAGTATCTGACTTTCACTTGTGGATGAAAGATCAGGCTTTTCATAGAATTCTTATGGAATTCAGATATTTTTTCTCCTGCACTATACAGCTCTTTGTGTTTACTTCCATCACCATTAAAACAATGAACATACATTCATAATAAAATAACTACTAGTAATTAAAGCCTGACCGATGGGGGACTTTTAGGGCTGATATCAACTTTCAGTAGTCAGAAATTTGGATATGTATTTGTTTATATATGTTTTGAATTGGAGTGGGCATGTTCTCCCTCTGCAACATGGGCTCTCTCCAGGTTCTCCAGCTTCCTCCCACAATCCAGAAACATGTTGAGGTTAATTGGTGATTCTAAATTGTCCATAGTGTGTGAATGTGAGTGTGCTTGGTTGTCTGTCTCTTAAGTGTAGCCCTGTGATAGACTGACAACCTGTCCACCTTGTACCGTGCCAAATGTCAGCTGGGCTAGGCTCCAAGCGGTAGTCAAGCGGTAGAGTACTTGGATACATATCATGGAGCACTGTCCTGCATTAAGACTATGACCTTCTTGCATGCTGTGGACTTGCTGTAAACCTGAAAAGCTCCAACTAGCCCACATCAGTACCCCTCCTCCACCATGCTGACACTGAACTCGAAGTGGTGCCACCATCTGCTCCATCAAGAGTCACTCTCATTTGATCTGTCCTTATAGTCTCTCTTCAGGCATTTCTTGCCCTAGTCTTAACCCTTGTAAATCTTATTCAGTTCTGGTCATTTTTCAGCCCTCTTTATCTAAGACCATTCATGCCCATGTACTTCTGGTTGCAGTTCTGGAATATGGTGCAGTAGAGGATGACGGCTTCATGGTAGCTTCACATTTAGTTTTTCTCAAGGCGCTAAAATGGCACCTTTTCTCCACACGTATTTTTTTTTAATGCAAACAACAAAATGTTTGAATGTGCAGTGGTCATACTGCAGTAGTTTAGCTATTCCAAGAGTTTTATAGGCATCTTAAAGTTTTTAACTTTCCGTGTCAGTTAAATCTTTCTTTTGGTCAATTTTTCTGAGGTAATGAAGTTGTTTTAAAAAACTGTGCAGATCTTAACATACTGTGTTGATTACTTTAAGACACTTCCTCCCTTATCATATAAACAGCAAGTTTTTATGGTGGAAATTTTGAAAATTTGAAGAGAAACAATGATAACTTTTGAACACTCACTTGCCCAGTAAATATACATGCAGTGTAGTTTTCATTCATTAACACTTTATTTACATGTGACACCGTTACTTTTTCTCCTAATTTAAAATCCATCCTCATTTCTGTTGGATCATTGGGGCTAAACATTCCTTGTCAATCTCCCTAAGAACAAACTAAAATATAAAGCACCTAATAAACTTATTTTCCAGTTTCTTCTCAGGATAGATTTCTATGCACAAGAGACGGGACTGAGCAGGAGTCTCTTAACATGCTTTGTTAAAAGTGACTCATTCCTTTGGGTCTTTATGTGTAAAGTGTATACTGTGTAATTTGATATGTATTTCGCATAGCTCTGTGGCTTGCATAAAGAGTAGGTGAAATATAGAAAGTGGAGAGATAAAGGAGGGAGTGAGAGAGCAGGCAGGGGATGAGACCCCACCAATAAAAGACAATAACCACATCTAAAAGAAATATCATGCCTTAATAGGATTTCATTGCAGAAAAAAATTTCTTCCTTTTAACACAATGGCTGGATTTAAAGCCCATATGTGTGAAATACTCTTTAGAAAGATCCACAACTGTCTAGAAAACCTGAATGAACTGATAAAAATCCTGTAAAAAAACAACAACAAAAAAAACAATACACATTTCTCGCCTCGCCTCTCATCTGCTTAGGACACCCGGGATCTTTCTGCGTGGAGTCTCCATGTTCTCCCTGTGCAGCGTGGGTTCTCTCCAGGTTCTCTGGCTTCCTCCCACAATCCAGAAACATATTGAGGTTAATTGGTGATTCTAAATTGTCCGTAGGTGTGAATGTGAGTGTGCTTGGTTGTCTGTCTCTTAAATGTAGCCCTGTGATAGACTGGTGACCTGTCCAGGTGAACCTGCCTTCATCTCAGTTAACTGGGATAGACTTCAGTCCCCCGCTACCCTAGTGAGGTGTATATATGATGGATGGATGGATGGATGGATGGATGGATTTCAAAATGCACTGCATATTTACACAACAGATTCAAACATGACATGTAGTGGTTTGCAAAGTTGCAGCAAACAAAGACATAGAAAATAAATAATATGTTTTAAATATTCATAACAAATCATATTCATAACAAATCATATTCACTGCGGCAAAAATCGATGAAAGAATATTGATAAATACATCACTACTGACACATCTTTAAAGGGGAAAACCATCCAGATTACAGCATTACGATACTTATTAAGATGTGGTTGTACAAATGAATAGCTATCAATATGTTGCAGTGATCATGATTCTTAGGTATCACAGGTCTCGAGTGGTTCATGTATTCACAGTGTTAGCAGCAGTGAGGAGTGAGGAGAACAGGGAGTCTGGTCGTAGTTTCAACACATCTGGATGATCAAACTCTGCCACCTGTTGGCAACAGAAACACAAAGTAAATGTAGGTTTACGATCACACATATTTAATTTCTTTGTATAATAATGCTTGTTTGTTACCTCTCCTTTGTCCATGACCAGAATACGATCTGCTTGCACCACAGTGTTGATGCGATGTGCGATGGTGAGCATGGTGCAATCACTAAAAGCATCTTTAATAGTGTTTTGGATCAGAGCATCAGTCTCTGCATCGATGGAGGCCGTGGCCTCATCCAGAAGAATGATCTGCCAGACAACAGGATGGATGATTAATGTAGATGAAAGGACTGGTGTGAGAGGAGGACAGTTAGATTGGCAAACATGTTGTTAAATACATAACATTTTTAAAAGGCATAACATATCATTATACTGCTTGAACATAACAAAGGTGTGGATGGAAAAACTGAGAGAGGACTCCCAAACATTACTTTGATTGGTGCATATTATGCAGCATGTGATCCAGCCATTTAACTGTGTATTAGCAGTAAAACTGAGCACAAACTAAGAGCCCCCATCAAAGACAGAAGACATTCATAGCTACAAGTGTGTACAAGCGTAAGAGTAGACTTCAGGGAAGACACAAGGGATCAATATTTAAAAGATTTTTATGTTGAAAACCCACTATAACATTAGTCTTCTCGTAGAAAGTCTCTGAACCAAGTAAACTGTGAATTCAACTATCATGGCATGTGTGTATTTAAACACACCAGCCAAAGATTTTAGTTTTCCATAATTATTTAGAGACTTCGACAAAGTCTTATTCTCTAATAGAGTTAATAACTGTTTTAATCATAAATAAATGTATTGTACTCTTGTTTTCAGTCTGCTTCAGTAACATAGTCGAGATGTACAAGATCCCTAAAAATCATCCCAAAACACAGATATGTGTGATATGTTTTGAATTTTCTTTTGGGAACTTTCAGAAAAATGTTTTTCTGTACATGGTCCCTGTCAAATAAACTCATAATAATAATAAAAAAAATGTGCAGAAAGTTTTCAACACAAGCAGAAAACTTCCTGAAACACACCTGAGCTATCAAAAGTCTAGGAGTTTATAAATAAGTCAGATGAATTAGTTTATTTATGACATGAATTGGGACATTTAAAAAGGTGACATTCCCAAACTCAGCAGGGATAATACTAAATGACAAAAGCTGATCTAGAGGTGGCTAATATTTAAAAGCAACACTGACTGCCTGAGAGTATTACTGCAGCTTATTCTGTTATGTTGATTATATAAATTATATATATGTAATCAATAAATACATTATATATATATGTGTGTGTGTGTGTGTGTGTGTGTGTGTGTGTGTGTGTGTGTGTGTGTGTGTGTGTCATCTGGTACCTGAATTTAGTTTTATAAATAAAGACAAATCTAATATTGATGCAGGAGAGGCACAAATTGGTGCATACAATTTAATCAGATTGCAGAAAATGAAGCATTTGACAGTTTCCAGGGAGAGGACCTCAGACCACTTAATGTGTCCCTCCTGAAACTGGAATGAACCCTACACCCATATGTATGTGTACACAGACCTTGGAGTTACGGAGTAGTGCTCTCGCCATACACATCAGTTGTCTCTCGCCCACAGAGAAGTTCTCTCCATTCTCATACACCTCTGCTTGTAGCCTTCCCTCCAGCCTGGAGATCTAAGGAAATGAAATCATATTTAACATCAATCAAACTGCCAAACATAGTACAGTAAAAAGGGATAAAAAAGAAACATTCATAAACTTTAAAAAAAAAAAAGAATGTTTGGGCTCAACAAAACAGTTAACAAAATCATTCGATCAAATCATTATTTATATTATATATGTTGACACTATTACCAACAGAAACGTGTCAACCGAACCTATCAAAAGTTTGTAACTTAAATAGTTTTAAAATCTAAATCAGTAAATGGATGACTGTCAATGAGTGATTTACATTGTATAGTTTTGAACATTTTTGAAGATTATTTATACATTCATAGTTTCTTTGTACTAGAATGATAAAGAATCAAAAAATGTCTTAATTTATTAAGCTCTATTTTTGGGGGCCTTTTTTTTGTCTTTTCTTGATAGGAAAGTCAAGAGAGAGACAGGAAAGTGGGGGAGGACCTGCAGGAAAGGGCCATGAGCGGGACTTGAACCCATGACCTCTGCGTTGGGGACTATAGCCCGTGAACATGGGACACCAGCTCAACCAGTTGAGCTGTCGAGGCACCCATTAAGCTCTATTTAAAGAGGAAAGTTTGCCTGTAGGGTTTTGTCTGACTAACTATTACCATTAGAACTTTTTCTATTACTTGACTGGCTGGTTTTAGAATCTGACTGTACAATACTGATAATGTGTTGTGCGTCATGTAATACTGGTAACATACTGTGTCCTTCATGTAAGTCTTCTCCAGCGCTGTCCAGATTTCCTCATCAGTGTAAGTATTAAAAGGGTCTAGGTTGTACCTGTAGGCAAGTATAGCTGGTTACTCAGTGACAAACTCACAGAAGAGCTTGTATTTTTGGGTAAACATAAACCTCTACGGAGCTATGGGGGTTACCTGACTGTACCAATAAACAGCACAGGGTCCTGGGGGATAATGGACAATTTGCTGCGCAGATCCTGTAGGCCAATAGTCATAATGTCCACTCCGTCTATCAGGATGGTTCCTCCTGCTGGCTCCACTAGTCTGAATAGAGCCACACCTAAAGAGGATTTCCCTACAGACACAAAGCACAGAGTGCAGTTGCTGAATAATAAACTACAACGACTATCACACTGTGTCAGAGTTATGTAACATTGTGTTTGATTTCACGACTCTGGGAGGATTCAACTCTACAATCGGATAATTAGCAACTCATTTATTTTGTAATGTCTAAATTAACTTGACATTCTTCAAACATCCCACATACAACAAGCTGCATCTGAATGAATAACAAAGATACAGGAAACAGCTACTGGATTCAGGATCTTACCGGAGCCTGTCCTTCCCACAATGCCCAGCTTCTCTCCAGCTCGGATGAAGAAATCAAGCCCGTTCAGTACAATGGGTGTATTCTCCCTGTATCTCATCTTATAGTTCTGGAAGGTGATGACTCCACTCTTGGGCCAGTCCTCTGGGATCTGAGCCTCCTTTATGTGTCTGGGTGCCTCAGATTTGCAACCCTGCAAACACAGCAAACCAGAGATTTGAGGGAAGAAAGAAAAGGGATCTTTGAGGATAATTAACTGCAAATTAAAATTTTAGTTTTTAAGAAGACCAGGACAGATGAATTGGTGGAAGGAGAAAGGTCTGACCGTGATGTATTCCTGTAGTCGTTCCACAGAGTTGAACCTTGCCTCCACTTCTGTTGCCTGTCTCACCACATACTGAAGCATGCCTGTCAACTAGATATCAAACATCGAAAAAAATCTGTTGTAACATGTTTTTATAAAATAAAGAAAACATGCATGAATTTGCTCTCCAGATTTACCTGAATAGTATAAGACATGGCCAAGCCTTTTAAAGCTGGACTGATAACTTCATTACTGCTGAGCACTACAAACAGAGCCACCATCAAGGTCATGGTAGCAGCCATGAAGTCCAGCCAGAAAGACAGCCAACGTGTACCACAGTGAAACAGCAAGTAGTGATTGGAGTTGATGTCATTAAGGGATGTGAACCTATAAAAACAAAAAAAAAAATCCAAGGATGAGTCAAGATTTGTGGACATAGTTGGTTACCCCAGTGATCAATAAAACCGTGTTCACAATGCAGACAAGTATTACAGACACTGACATTAAGATATCAGTTGGTGCTTCTGCACTGAATGAACGGAAGGCGGACACAGTAAAAAGCTTTATTCCTGTTACAGGTGCAATATGTATGCATTTTTAATGTTGCAGAAATATAACAGAAAACAACTATCTGCTATGTAGAGACAAAGTGGAGTCATAGCATCCTGAACACTGTTAGTGTGGCTGTGTGTTAGTGCATGGTAATGCATGTGAGGTCCTCCTTTTGAAACTGTTGGCTGTCTCTGAGTTTATGAACACATTTCCCGCACTGCCTTTGAAACTAAAAATGCAGTTCTGACACTCCTCTGATTTTTTCGCGGGGTCCAGCGACTGTGGTCCGACAGACCATGGACACACACAGAACAGAACAGATACTATTGGTTGTGGCTGGATTATTTTTGTTGTGTCTGAGATGCTGCTGCTCTTACAATGTCCAGTGATTCTAAATGTAAAATGGTCCACACTTATATATTACCATTTTTTAACCTTAGCTTTCAAAGCACTTTACAGTGACCTTTTCATTCAACCAAGTAATGTGCACTCTCACACACCAATAGTGGCACGTGGACCACCAACCCTGGCATTAGTGGACAAGCACATCTACCACCGGAGCCCTACATGAAAGTCGCACACAGAAATTCTAAGGAACTCTGGCATCTTACTGTTTTATGAGGCTGTCTCTTATGTTGTAGGCATGAATGGTGCTGAGGCCCTGCAAGGTGGAGGTGGTGAGAGAAATGCAGGGAGAGCGACTGATGTTCTCCATCTTCTTCATCTGACGTATACTCCTTTGGAATACACTGCAGATAAATCACAACAGATATTCAGCTGACCTTAAACAACTATTTACTGTCACAAGCCTCATTTGAAGAAGTAAAATCGTTTCAAAATTTGGGAAATTACGCAAATTGTCTGCAGTCCCCCTCATAATAAATTATATTATGTCTCAAATTAACTGGTATAAACTCACAAGAGAATGAGAGAAAACAAAACGCCAATAACAACCACAGCTGCCAGCATTGCAGGGAAAACAGCTGAGATGATGATAATGGTGAATGTGACAAGCAGACAAAACTGCAAGAAAGGGTCCATGTGGAGGGGAAGCACGGTGTCCACCTCCTCCTGGTCTTTAGAGAAACGGTTCAGGATGCGGCCTGTTGGCGTTGTGTCAAAGAAACTCATTGGACTGGCAATAATCTGCAGGAGGACAACAAAGAAATCTTTGTCAGCCCTTTAAAAATGATCACATTGGTTTGTGATTAGGGGCTGCAAGGTGGATCTGTGGTCACCAATTCAATTCAATTCAATTTTATTTGTATAGCGCATATTTACAACAACAAGTCATCTCATAGCGAACCACCGTTGCCTCACAGCGAGAAGAGCCCCAGTTTGTCCCGGTGAGGACACTCGGGATCTGTGTGGACTTTGCATGTTCTCCCTGTGCAGTGTGGGTTCTCTCCGGGTTCTCCGGCTTCCTCCCACAGTTCAAAAACACGTTGAGGTTAATTGGTGATTCTAAATTGTCTGTAGGTGTGACTGTGAGTGTACTTGGTTGTCTGTCTCTAAATGTAGCCCTGTGATAGCCTGGTTACCTGTCCAGGTGAACCTGCCTTCCCCCTGGGTCAGCTGGGATAGACTCAAGCACCCCTATGACCCTTGCGAGGATTAAGTGGTGTATCGATAATGGATGGATTGAAGGACTTGTGATGAATAAACACTATGTTTAAATTGAAATTTGTGTTGTAGATAATTTGATGCAGACGGTACCTTCTTGAACATGGTGTTGTGGAATTTGCAGGCAGCATTCAAGGTGACAGCAGTGTAAAAGAAGCACTTGACGACAGCTAGTAGCACCGTGACAATTATCATCACGCCATAAATCAATTGGTAGAATTCTAGGTCAGGGTTTTGTGAGATGTCACCCTGGTTTGAAGTTTCATTGGTGGATGACTGGGACAAAACAGAGAAAACATATGATGTTAGTGGAGAAAAACACTCAAAATATAAATAATTAAAATAATGCATTATCCTATTGTGAATATTGTCACCATACATATGACACAGATTTAGAAACACTCAAAAACTCTAGAGGTGACCTAAAAAATGAAATAAAAGATTCTTGACTGTTTTTAGGTCAGTAGTCAGATTTAAGCCAATTTGTGACATTGATCATGTTAACTGTAAAAAATCGCAGTTCCTTGAGTTGCATCCTTCCATTAAAGCAGCGTTCACATGACACTGGATGGATGGACGATTAGAATCTTTAAACTACTTCACAGGAGGGGAAACAAGGCCAAAAGTGTGGGGGGAGCAAACACGTACCAGCATTTCCCAATGGGTTGATGGAAAATAGTCTAATGAGGCCAAGTTTGAAATTTGTGGCAGTAACAGAAGGTGTGCCATGATCGAGGCTGGCATTAAACCTTTGCAGTAGCAGCTCCAAGCCTTTGGAACCACAGAAACTGATCTTCCAAGTTACTATCCTGTTTTGCACTGTTTCAGTGTTTTGTACTATTTTGCTTTGTTTGTTTTACAAACTGATTTCAAAGTTCTTATCCTGTCTTGTTTATTGCACTTTTTTGCAATGCATAAAGTTGATTTGATTTGAATTTGCATCATATACCAGTCTGTGCCCCCCTCAACCATGAATATTCTCCCTATCTCACTTTCCATCAAATCCCCCGGGTTATTTTTTAGTTCTTTAGTTGTAACTATATCTCTGCAGCATGGGGGAGTGGGTAAGTAATCCCACCTACAGGGATCAACTATGTTTTCTACATTAATAAAGTTATGTTGAGCTGTGTGAAGTAGGAAATAAATAGACATGGAAATTCTGTCCTGGTTGTTTGTCTTATTTCTATAGCCACCCAACCTTCATTACTGCCAAAACCAACAAAACATGAATGAGTCTGCAGTGACTCTGGGCGCCTGACCAACCACTGGAGAAACAATGCGTCACTGCTGGATTGTCAGTGCTGGAAGAGACTGACTTTTCTCTACTCACCGGCTGTCCAAACCACATTGGATCATACAATAATCTGAACTGTATCCAGCAAGTCTGTTCTCTGAAAACACACTCACCAGGGCCGATAATAGGAGCTAGAGAGAGAGAGAGATTCTCACCCCATCACCCTGGCCCAGCCAGTTGCTGAGCCACCAGTTGCTGAAGGCTGTGGATCCAATCATCAGGACAATGGTTAAGATGGTGAGCAAGGTGACAATGTAGCCTGCAGCAACACAGTTACACCAAAGTTAACCAACAGGTAGCACATATGTGACATATGTATTATTGTTCAGAATCACTCAAATGTGTGTATGTGTGTGTGTGTGTGTGTAGGTGTGTGTAGGTGTGTGTGTGTGTGTGTGTGTGTGTGTGTGTGTGTGCATGTGTGTTGGACCAGACCTCCTGCTGCCTTGCAGTACTGGTGGTAGACTCTCCAGGAGACAGCACCTTCTGTGGATGACTCCTGACTGACCAGCTGATTGCTTTCCTTGACAGCTATTTAAGAGGAAGAAAAAGGTTTTATAGAATCATAGCACAATTAAAGGGACCATTTATATCATCTTATATTAATTGGATTGTATTCCTACAGAACTGAACACTGAACCTATTGAAGAACATGTTCAGTTCATTAGCTCTGTCCAGACCTCCATCAGTCTGATCCCCCTTTAATTTGAAGCCAGTGATAGTCTTCATTCCATTCCACACATCCCTCACGTTGTTCTGCTGGAGCTGGCTCTCCAACTTTTTCCTGTAGTCCTCCTTACGCTTCTTAGTCTGTTTGTTCAGTTGTTTTTGTGTGATCTTCAGTAACTCCCTGTCTCCATCCCTGAAAGGTTTCTTTTTGATGTTCAGCAGCTTTTTCAGGTCACTGGTGATCCAGGGTTTGTTATTGGGGAAGCACCTCACTGTTCTTGTTGGAACGATGCTGTCCACACAGAAGTTTATATAATCTGTCACACACTCAGTCATGGTGTTGATGTTGTCTCCATGAGGTTCACAGAGGACATTCCAGTCTGTGGCCTCAAAGCACCCTCTCAGAGCATCTTCAGCCTCCGTAGACCAGGTTTTAATAGTCCTCCTAATGACTGGCTGCTGCTTAACGATGGGCTTGTACGTAGAGGTGAGAAGAACCAGATTATGATCTGATCTTCCTAAAGGAGGCAGGGCAGAGGAGCTGTATGCATTCTTAATATTTGCATAAAATAAGTCCAACGTCTTATTTTCTCTGGTGGTGCAGCTGACAAACTGCTGGAAAGTTGGTAATGTAGCAGAGAGGGAGACGTTGTTGAAGTCTCCAGAGATCGCCATGAATGAGCTTGGATGCTGTGTTTGTAGTTTAGCCACGATGGAGCTGATGACATCACAGGCTGTCTCTGGTGCGGTACCTGGTATTATATAAACCACTACCAGAATAACACAGGCAAACTCTCTGGGTAAATAATGGACGGAAACTCACAGCTAACAGTTCGATGTCTCTTGTGCAGATCTTCTCCTTGACAGTGACGTGTCCAGGATGGCACCAACGCTGATTAACCAGCACTGTAATACCACCTCCCTTCAGCTTCCCGCTGAGCTGTTTATTTNTGAATGAGTTTGGATGCTGTGTTTGTAGTTTAGCCACGACGGAGCTGATGACATCACAGGCTGTCTCTGGTGCGGTACCTGGTATTATATAAACCACGACCAGAATAACACAGGCAAACTCTCTGGGTAAATAATATGGACGGAAACTCACAGCTAACAGTTCGCTGTCTCTTGTGCAGATCTTCTCCTTGACAGTGATGTGTCCAGGATGGCACCAACGCTGATTAACCAGCACTGTAATACCACCTCCCTTCAGCTTCCCGCTGAGCTGTTTATTTCGGTCTGCACGGACCGTCTTGAAGCTGTGTACAGACGCATTACATTCCGGGATGTGTTCATGCAGCCATGTCTCAGTGAAGCACATAATACTGCACTCTCTGTACTCTTTTTGAGACCGTGTTAGCATTTCAAGCTCGTCCATCTTGTTAGCTAGCGATCTCTCGTTGCCCATCACAACAGTTGGAAGAAACGGTTTAAATCTCCACCGTTTTTCTCTCTGCCTTACCCCTGCCCTGCAACCTCTTCTCTTCCTCTTTAGCTCCACTGGGATTTGACGTATTATTTCGCTGAAAATCTTGATTTGGGAGAGTTTTAACAGTTGATCACGGTTGTAGACAATTTTTCCGTTGCCATGGATACTCATCATAACAACTTGTGAAAAAGGCAAAATATATGTAGAAAAATCTTCTGAGTTGCAGAGATTTCAACTCAGCATAAAAAAATCATCCAAGAAAAATTTTATCTGACAGGTAATGTCAGTAAAAAGACAACAATATATCCAAAAAAAAACTCAAAAGCAAAGAGAGCTACTACAAATTGCTGCCACCTAGCGGCGCATTCCAGAATGTTTATGGATTTATTATTTGTTTTATTTTATATTATTATTTTATTTTATTTTATTTATTATTATTTATATTGATTATTTATAAATTTGAAGCTGCAGTTAACAGAAATTTGTTATCTATGGCGTCACCCAGGACCCAAACCCCATTCTACTAACTGAACATGCTCCTTGTAACCCACTGCACCACCACATCATACTTTCACAGTGGACTTGCTATTTACATATCACATCTACTCTGGGTACAAAAGCCTAATAAAATCTCCTGCCACTAGTTAGATCTTCCTCTGAGATCACTTGATTTACAAAATGCTGAAAGACTAGCGTGATTTTTTTCCCCAATGATGCAGAAATAATACTGCCTACCCCAGCTTTAATAAGCTTTGTAGACTTACATATTTGGTCAGCTTTCGTTTCATCACCGTTTTCATCTGACATGTCAAATCCTGGAAAGAAGCACAGATGTCAGTCAGTCAGTATACACTTCTATTTACCACATAACTGTCTCATGTGCTGCTCCAGGAAACATAAAGAAATGTGACTGGATGTTGGGAGGAAATAATGGCTGAGTTATGTGTCATAGGGAATATCAAAGAGGATATCTCCATCATGATGGAAGGATGTTTACAACATCTCAGATAGGATTAAAATGAAGTTCTGGTTTCTCTTCATATATTCTCAAAATTAAAGTAACTTGTTCTTAAGGCAATAACCCTAAATGACAACTAGTTCCTTTCTTCTGTAGACTAAAAAAAATGCTGAAAAATGTCTAAATATCACAATATATCAATAAGCTGCGACTGCAGGTCTAGTATTGCCTTACAAAGCTTTCTCCTGATTTCACAACCTTTGACTTACTTCTTGTTCTATAATTGCTCTTTTATGAGTTCAGTCTTTTGTCATAAAACTTTGTTCCACAAAATGTTGTGCCAAGTCTACAACAACGTGTTGCACCAACTTCACTGTAGCTCTGTATTTGTGTTGTAACTGATTTCTCACAGTAAACTGCTTTTAGGGATTTATTTCTAATAGTTATAACATGCTACAACAAACATACAGTATTTAATGGGGTGTCTTTGCACCGATCTCTATCATGACTACATCCTTAGTTTCATTCTTTTTAGGTCCTCTACTGGGGTTTTCTCTCAGGTTTCCATACCAGGGTTCACTATTCCACTGTCTGCACGCTGTCTGTGCTCTTCGTCTTTCGACTGGTCAGCATCTTGGGTTGACACCTCCTCCTCCTCCTCTTTATGAGTCTGGCAATGAATAGAATCAAGGACAACAACAAGCTCAACCAAACTCATGGACTGTGTTTTCCTTAGTCATTGTGTTTATTGTTCCTTAGCTATTAAACCATTAAAGAACTGCTGAGAAGGTTTTACAGCTGGTTTTACCTACATGGAAAGGCACATTGATGGGGTAGTGCAGCCACAATAAAATTTCTGCTGTAGGTTTTGTAAAACTCTTACTTTGGACTGTTCTAACTGATAGTTATTGATGAGCTGAGCATAGCGTCCTTTGGCTGTCATCAGGTCCTCGTGGTTTCCAGCCTCCAGGATCTCACCATCCTCCAGAACCAAGATATCATCACAGAACTCCAAATACTAGAAGACACAAGTGAGGACAACCATGCCAACAAAAGCAGCTCAGAACTGCAGCCAGGGTTTTACAATGCAATCTATACAGCCATCACGTGTACTTGCACATCTTTGGCACTTGACAGACGCTCTTATCTACAGTAGAGTTACAGTAGAGTGACTCATAATATTACTCACAACCCATGAAAAAGATAACACTGAGAGGAAGCAGCAGAAATGACATAACACTAGCTGATGTGTGATTTGTATTTACTCAGCTAACTGCAACGAGATGATATAAATCTTATTTTATAAACGTGTAAACTTTACTAACTCAGAATGTTCTGAATGTTATAAAATGTATTGTGATTCTTTATTATGCTCAACGTGATCACAAGACTTCAGGAAGTTACTGCTCAGAGCAAAGAAACAGTCTGGCACATAAAACCACGATAAATTAATGCTGCACTTTGGTTTTTGTACAAATTAAACAAAAGAAGGAACAGAAGTACTGGTGATCAGATTTTGTTGCCTTTAGACGGAGCAGGCAAACTGTTTCACCTTTTTTATCCCCAGTATGTGTGCTAAACAAAACTGCCTTAAGCTCTGGCTTAAGCATCATAATTGTCATACATACATGAGTGTCTGTAAAGTGTTGATGTTTTCTAAAGCAAGTTAAATATTGTATTACCAAGATGTACCATGAACCCATTTAGGTTCAGTATCAACTAAAGAATAAAACGCCATCTATATCCCTACCTGGAGCTGGTGTGTTACTAGGATGATGGATTTTCCTTGGAGCTCCTTCTTTATACATTCTTCAAAGATGTGTTTCCCCACATGAGCATCAACAGCAGAGAGCGGGTCATCAAGGAGGAAGATGTCCTTATTGGAGTAGACAGCTCTGGCCAGGCTGATCCTCTGCTTCTGTCCCCCAGATAGATTCAGCCCTCGTTCTCCAATCTGGCAACAACACAACAAAAGACCACTAGCCTCAGGGTCTGCTATCTCATAAAATCCACTTCTCTACTTTTACAACAGAGTAAATAAAAGAGAGAGGGCATATGCAGGAAGGCACTGATAGTAAAGACAACACAGATTTGGCCTTCCACAACAAGAAACTTCCAAAATGAATAGACAAGACCTGGTATGCAACCTAATGGAATGTATGAGCTTGGAATAAATGATTTATGCACATCCAAGAATTTGTCAACCTCTCTCACTTTGTACACATGATTATTGTTCTGTCTCCAAACATTTAGTTTCACAGAACAAGATATGCTAAGACTTTGGCATCTATTTTGTAAATGCCAGCATTTTTGCACCTTATTTCTATTTTTAGCACGATTTGTCTGTGTAAATTGACATGGTTGGCTGTCATGCCCTCAGATTTTGCATCCAGTCTTCCTGTCTGCAGCAGGTCTCTCTCACCCTCTTTGTATGTCAGCACTGTCAAGCTGGTTTTAGATGCTCATCTTTGCCATCTCCACTCTGCCAAAATGTAGACTCTACTCATGAATTCCACAGATGCTCCAGCCTCTGTTCCTTGACCTCCTTCCTGGCCTGTCCCCGCTGCCAGCTGTCCTTGGCTCCTTGCTCCATAGATCTGTCTCCACCTAGCTCCCCTTCAGCCCCAGACTCTCGACTACCTGCCAAAGGCTCAGCCTTAGCGTCAGGCTAAATGCAACCAGAACAAGGCTCAGCCTCGGGTTTCCAGTAACTTATCCAAGCCTGAGGCCCAATTTTCCTGCCGCCTTAAAAAAAATATCAATTTCTTGGTGCCTGTACTTGGGTTCATCAGCCGTGAAAGATTGTTTGTAAGTACATCATGGCCAGAGGCGTCCCGTCAGGACAGGCAAATGAGGCAATTGCCCAAATGACAACACTTTGATACATTTTGCAGTGACAACCACGAATTCGTGGTTAAACAAATGCAGGCCCCTATACAGTGCATTGAAAGTAGTGCCCTGCAACCCCACCTTGTGGGCCCCCCCCCTTCAGCTACAGCCTACTGGTCCAGTCAGATTGCTTGATAAAGAAAGTCAACTTTCAGCACAATGAAGAGACACTTACCAGGAGGAAAAACAACAACAACAAAGTGGTAGGTGGATGTGCTGCTGATAAATGCACAAAAAGATTGATTTCCGTTAATATGTAACTTCCAGGTGGGCACATTAGCTCATCATTCTCATCATGGAAAAGCCTATATGATATTTAAAAAACGAGGAGTTATCTAACGCCCATGAGAGTTAGGAAACGTTTACATAACATTAAGGAGTGTATAATAAGCTAGATAGGAGCTAGCTTCCTAGCTTACTCGCTGGCTAGCTCACTGAATCTAATCAAACCTTTTCTTAACAGCTAATTGTTACTACCTGAAAATGACATCCTCATAAAACTCTTAATAGACAGTAATAACAGTTAGAGACCCATAAAAAGGAAGATGTATGATAAGTAAATAATACATGGTGAACATTGTGCTATAAACATCTGGACTGAATTCACCAACTGCTGCTATAATATCTGATGATGTTAAAGGACTCAAAGGAGACAACTGCACAAATAATGTGTCATACTAGAATAAAGATAACTGTTCTGTTATGACAAGAACTTTTTCTATTTATCATAAATTTTGTTTTAGGAGCACTGCTGAAGTTTTTCCAGCCCACTCTGTGAGGTCCACTATGAGCCAGAAAGAGGGCTGGCTCACATCTCCACTGAACAGGAGGTAAGAAGATCTTTGAACCTTGAAGATTAGGTGGTAGCATTTGCTGCAACCAAGGCCTGAAAGAAGTGCTTTTAAGTGGACTGTTCAGAGTGTTCATACACAATGGCTTTGCCTGGGGCCCCTCAGAACCTAGTGTTGCCTCTAGAAAATCATTTCGTGTGACACTGCCAAATTATGTGCTTAAATGTGAATAGTCTAATGATCAGCTTGAGGAATGTTCATTGTGACAGTGACCTTGAGAGTTTAGTGTGACATCTGTGGATGTTGTTACATCACATTAAGGGTTTTTTTCATGACAGGCTCAAGAATTCATTAAAAGCGATTAGACACTTTGATTTTTGAGAGAGTATCTACCTCAGTTTGATCACCATAAGGCAGGATCTTCAGGTCTGCTCTGAGGCTGCAGACATCCACAACTCGGTCATATCTGTGGAGCAACAATGAAAGACAGCTAACAGGCTGACACTTAGGTAAGGAATAGAGTATTGAACAAAGCCATTTTCAGGGCAAGAGTTAGTCATTAACTCAGTTTAGCTCAAAATAAGGAGTGACCAAAATCATTTTGGAAAAATATCATGAAATCTGTGTAAAAAAAAAAAAACAGATTTGATGTACAAACTGTAACGAATCTAATATCAACCCAGTGAGACACTGGTTTTCTTTCTAAACACATTAGACACATTTATATGAATGACTATTCGTATTGGTTAACTCCTTATTACAAGAGGCACATTAACAACACTTTTAAATTGTTTTGCTCAGATATCAATTCCTTAACGGTTTTATGAGAGGTTATATGAGAGAAAAATCACTTTTTATGAGTGTACAGTGTAGCCAGCATGTCAGCATGAATCCTCTCACATAACAGAGATGACCTCTGCTCTTGTTTGAATACCTCGTCAGAAGTAAATTCAGAGATAAGAGGAAATCTCTCCCAGTTAAATATTTTCCATCAGCAGAACCACTTAAAAAACAAACACTTTAGGCTAAGCGTGTTTTTACTGCCAGAGTCAGTGTGGGTGAGAGGAACAATGGTAACTTATTAACTGTCATGCTGGGTTTTTGGTCAACTATTCAGTTATTCTTTAAGCTTGGTTATTAACTGTGTATTTTTTTCTTGGATTGAAATCACTCATCTCTCCTTGTTTTACTTTACCTGATTCTGAGTTTTATTTAATACTACCCTGTAACATGCTTTGCTACTTCTTAGCATCACCAAAGATCTGCCTCAGCACCCTGACAAATCTCTTCACTCACTACACAAGCATGGTGTTGTATCTGCCCCACAATCCCCAGCACCGCAACTGCTTATTAACTGGAATAGATTTCAGGGGAAGCACATCCCCCTCAATGTTTAGAAAACTGAAATTTGTCCCTCCAATAAAAAATAAATAAATAAAAGTAAGCGGAGGAGACTAATTTTGAAAAACAGCAACAATACCTCCCAAAGCACTGGGTCTTCACTCCAAAAATATGAATAATTTATGAGGTGAACAACCATTGAATCTTTTGTGGCAGATGAAATTATCTCTGCAAACACATATAAGACAATCAGCTCTGAGGTTTCATAGTGTGGCTGTAAGTGAATACTACCTACTGACTGAGTGCAAAGATCTGTCAGGGTGCTATGGCCAAGCCTCAGGTGGATTAACTTTTAGAGGGTCACACACATACTTAGCGGACTGAAATTAGGTTCAGCAATTACAATGGTTTTCTAACTTGTTTTCTGTGTCAGCTGCATTCTATCATCTAATTGTGTTCTGTATACTTATGTAGATATAGTCCAGTGTCTTCCTCTGTAAAGCTGTTTTTTTAGATAAGACTTTTAGCTAAGGTAAAGGCCTATGTCCTTTCCATGTTAAACTCTCACATTTTTTTGCAGTTATTTAGCTATAAATAGTGAGAATCATGTAGGTGAGTTAAGTGATTAATTACTTGGCCTGGTCAAGAGGTTCCCCCATCAATATATTTTCTTGAACAGTTCCATGGAAAATCCAGGCCTGTTGGGAAACGTAGGCAAATGTCCCATCAGCTGCGACCGAGCCCTGAAGAAGGTGCATCTTGAACAAACAAAAGAGAGGGCAGTCACGAAAAGAGCTATACGAGGTGTGTCGGAAAAGTTCCAGGACTGGTGTCACAAAAGATATATTTCAAACCCAAACTAGTAGTTTTCCCTTCAGACGATCAACCAGCACATCTACAAAGCGATCCTGTGGCATTCAGTGCACGAGAAGAGGCAGAACTATGGCAGGACCAGTGGTGGCTGCTTCACCATGACAATGTGCCTGCTCACAATGCTCTGAGCATCCGACAGTTCCCGGCTGGGAAGAACATCGCCGTGCAACCTCCCCACTCACCCCACCTGGCTCCGTGGGATTGTTTCCTCTTCCCCAACTCAAGGGGGTCATCAAGGGGACCCGTTTAGAAGATGTGGATGACATCATGATGACTGTGACGATGGAGCTGCAGAGGATCCCAGAAGAATCCTTCCAGGAATACATGGCAGCGTGGCAGAGAAGGCTGGGAAAGTGTGTTAGACTCCAGGGGGATTACTTCGAAGGGGAAAAATCCTTGTTTGTAGTTTGGATTTGAAATATATCTTTTGTGACACCACTCCTGGAACTTTTCTGACACACCTCGTATGTACACAACAGTTAAAGTTGAATAATTAAATAGAGAGAAACACAATAAAGATAAGGATGGTCATATGTGTTAAAGAGTAGCAGACAATAAACAGTGAAAAACAAGTGTCAAAAAAATGTCAAAGACTTGCAGAGACAAACGACGATAACAACAAAAAACACAAAGGAAGAACCAACCTGTTCCAAAATGCTTGAAATCAGCGATGACTTTCCACTTCCTACGTTCCCACAAACACCAAGCAGGTTACCCTTCAGAAAACAACACAGACATTGTTGGTTCACATAAACAGACTGCAGATATCTGCTTCATCCTAATCCGAGGTAAACACACACCTTAGGTAGTGTGAAGGAGATGTTTCTCAGGGTTGGCAAGGTTTCAGTCTTTCCATTCTCAGGCAGCCCATCCTCCTTCTGTTCTTTGACCATATCGGCCGAGCTGGATGGAGGGTCTGGCTGGCTGCCTGGTTTGGTCCAGGAAAGTGTAGCACTTTTCATCACTATAGCAGAGTTGCTGTCTTTCTTTTGCATCAGGTACAGCTCAGGATTCTGGATCAGCAATATTTTCTGCAACCACCACACAAGCTATTTCATGTTTTTGAAACTGAGATTTCTGTTGCAAGTCAAATCAGTGGTTTTGGAAAATATACATTGCTCAGCCACAACATTAAAACCACTGACAGGTAAATGAAATGACATTGATCGTCTTGTTGTATTGCAGTCTGCTGGGAAACCTTCCATGAGGATGTTACATTGGTACATACCTTCCAACTAAACATTGTTCCACACCAATCACTGGTGCATTTTGAGCTTTTTTACCTTTATTATAGTAAAGTAACAAAATCTTGAAGTTTGTATTGCTGAATGACATAACAAACCGAACTTCATGTAATTTAAAAGTAGAAATGGACACTGCTACTACTACCATTACCATAGCTGTTGAGCAGAGTAAAGAAAGAAGAGTTTACCCTTAATCGTGCCAGCGACAGAGCAGCCTCAGCCAGGGATTTCACACACAAAGGCATAAGAGCAAGGCAGAATCTCATGGAGTTGAAGATGGCGATCGTGGTGAAGGCCTGGTCATAACAAAGAATAATGCTCAATCACTACACAACAACATACAACTCTGACAGGTGTTCTATTGACTTTAAATGGACCACTACACTCTTGTGTGTCTGCAGATTGATCTGGTTTAGCGTGAACACAAACAAAGTAAAAACTGGGGACTAAACTGGAACTAAGGGTGCACCGGTATTTCAACAGGTTGAGCATGCGACCCATGTGTAGGGGCTGAAAGTCCCCGACGCTGCAGCCACGGTTCAAGTCCAAACTGATTTACTGCATGTCTGTCCCCACTCTTCTCTCTACCTTTTCTGTCTCTCTTCACTAGCCTCTGAAATAAAGCCATAAAAAGGCCCCCCCAAAAAAACATTTAAAAAAACTGGAACTAAATCACAGGCTCCTATTTCCTGTGGCAGACTCATACATGCTAGAGCTCCCTGTTCTCTTTAGATTAAATACAGACTTCTCGCTATGTCCTCATCAATATAGATCATACAATTGTAGTGATGTCGTACTCACATCAGATGTGTTGAGTGGTAAGCGGAACAAAGTGTGTACCACAAAGGTGAGAACAGTGGCGAGGGTAGGGATGATGCTGGTGATGCTGGTATTAATATTCTGGATGTAACTGACAGTCCGTATGTGCTTCCTTTCATTTTTCCTTAAGCCTGTGGAATAGAAAAGGGTTGTACGTTTCACTTATAGTAAATTTGCAGCTTCCTTGAGCTCCTCAATTCACCAACATTTCAGTTGTTCAGTGAGCACCTTCACTGTAGCAAGTAGGTACAAGTTATTTTGATCAAATCAAATCCATCCATCCATTATCTATACACCGCTTAATCCTCATTAGGGTTGCGGGGGGGCTGGAGCCTATCCCAGCCGACTTAGGGCGAAGGCAGGGGACACCCTGGACAGGTCGCCAGTCTATCACAGGGCTACACTTAGAGACAGACAACCAAGCACACTCACATTCACACCTACGGACAATTTAGAATCACCAATTAACCTCAGCATGTTTTTGGACTGTGTGGGAGGAAGCTGGAGAACCCGGAGAGAACCCACGCTGCACGGGGAGAACATGCAAACTCCACGCAGAAAGATTCCGGTGCCCCCACCGGGACGCGAACCGGCAACCTTCTTGCTGCGAGGCAACAGTGCTACCAACTGCGCCACCTTGCAGCCCTCTGAGGAGAGTTTATCTCAAAGGTTTACAAGCAAATGTAATACACGCACCCATACATGCTATTTTCCCTTCATAAGTCATGATAAACTATCCATTCATCCATTATCTATACACCGCTTAATCCTCACTAGGGTCGTGGGGGGGCTGGAGCCTATCCCAGCTGACTTAGGGCGAAGGCAGGGGACAGGGGACCTTGTGGGAGGAAGCCAGAGAACCCGGAGAGAACCCACGCTGCACAGGGAGAACATGCAAACTCCACACAGAAAGATCCCAGGTGTCCTCACCAGGATGTGAACCGGCAACCTTCTTGCGGCCTTCTTGCTGCTTCTTGGTGCAAACCACCGCACCACCTTGCGGCCTCATCAACAAGTCGCTAACTATATAATTCTATAATACAATAGCTAAACATCACAATATAGAGAATATTGCATTAATATTTGTAAGCTATTGTATTAAATTCAGCTACATTTTCATGTGTAAAATAGAGCTAATTTCCACATTTAGTAATACCTAGGTTACTCTGCTATTATTTTAACTAGGTGGGATTATGATCATAATAAATAACACCATAGGGTCTCAGCCTTTCCAAGTATCAGGTCAGGTAAAGTCTTATATATGTTCAAGACGGTTTAACCATTATTTTTTTTTACAGGAAATTCAAACCATCAAAACTCTATAGGGACGCAAAATCAATACTTAGACTTATACTGAAGTTTGTACTTTCAATCATATTTCATTACCAAAGATCACTTTGCCACAATGGCTCTTGTTTAAATGAGTTACATTACCCGTGACTTAACTTTATCTCTAGATATAGCAAATGAGTACCTGGCCCAGGACAAGTTAGATCTATTTGGAGAAGTTTTGTTGACTTGACCTCACAATATCTGTGTCTTCTTTCCATAGGCATAAACAATTGATTGACCGTAGGCTTTCAAAGTTGATATTATAAAGGTTCTCTTCATTGCCATTACTCATATGCTTTCTGTTCCTTCTATAATTCAGTAGTTAACCAATGCAAGCAGAGATGAGTCTCTGTTCAACATGAACTCTGGGAGACCTGGTTTACTTGCCTTTGCCTCCCATGCCAGCACCGTGATCCCTCCCCTAAGCTACACAACTGAGGCCTTCTGCTCACCCTCCGCGGTGCATGAACATTTCCTGTACCTGAATGTCATCAAATATTGCTCGAAGACCATGACTAGTTTTAATATATATAATCTGTGATAACTACATATACTTAGGGTACTGTTTCATGTCATTTCATAAAGGTTGTACATGCTTGCACAAATTAAAAGGATGTGTGTCATGCTTGACGCCACTCATAGTCTCATATCTCCGGATATTTCTTTTGTATCAAGTCACAATAATGGTGCCTTGCCAGATGTTCATCTCTGAGCATTCAACATGCCACTGATCCCCTGCATCCAGATGTAAAGGTTGTGCACGGTTTCACAAAAGGAAATGCATCATTCTTCTCACATAGTCTCATCTTACATAGTATATTTCCTTTGTATCAAGTCACTATATTGGTGTCTTGCATGATGTTCATCTGTTTGCATTCAACATGCTGCTGATTCGGTGCATTCAGATGAAAAGGCCATGCTGCTTGCATGACTTTAAAGGAAATGCAACACATAGGCTAATTTCATGAAAGTCCATTTCATTTCAAGGTGAGCTCATCAGCTCCCTTCAGGAGTACAGGTTTGGATTTTGTGATCTCAGGGACTGTCTGTATCATGCTTGCTCAGTCTGTTCCAGATCATCACTTGAGCAGAGTCACCGTTTAACACAAAATGCATGTCATTCCAAAAAAAATAGCTACATCTGACAGTGTCGTGTCTGAAATAGGAATTTTTTCCAGTGAGTCTGAAATTACATGCCAAATACCCACAGCTGCACACCCTCAGAGCACAGACTGGTGGGCCGTGGTACACTTGATGAGTGTGAGAGAGCATGTGGCAGATGCAGCCTCAGCTAAAACCTTCAGTGCCTCTGGCAGTGTGCTGACATGCATGTTGGTTTTGTCCTCACATAAAGAAGAAAGTATAAACGATACCTTGATATGTGATAATATATTAAGATTCAACAATGTATCGAGCCATCAAACTTACCTGCAATCTTCTTCTCAAAAGAATCTTCCCAGGCATACATTTTGATAAGTTTTATGCTGTTGAGAATCTCATTCATGGTGCGGACACGGCTGTCTGTTAGCCGCATGGCTTTCCATCTGAACCTGTTAATGAGCTTGGCCAAGAAAAACTGAAAACAGAAAAAACATGATTATGAGCTTTATTACTGGACACTATAATGATTATAAATCAAATAATTTAAGGTCAATTTAAAGTCATTCTTGCAGCTGGATTAGATACATTCCCTCTCCAGCCACTGATTAAACCCATATAAAAACTAATCTTTATGTTTTTTCCATTAATGTTATGCCTTAAAATGTCTTAGATGTAACTCTGCACTGTTGCGTGCTCTAGAATGTTCAGCTCTACAAAGCCCCTAACTTGCCTGGTGGAGCCTTTTGCACATTATTCTATACACTGTAAATCATGGGTTATATTGGACCATTGTGAATAATTCAACATATTGCTTACTGACTACATTTGTAGCTGCAACATAACTTTCCAGCTCTGATTGTGATGTGCATCTAGTGAAATCTAAAACACACCTCTCAAAAACATGTCCATTTATAAGCCACACTTACACACCTGCACAGGGACAAAAATGATGTAGGTACAGACTCCAGTCAGTGCGGTGTAGCCCAAAATGTGGCAGGCGTAGATGACACACACAATAAAGAGCACTGGAGTGGACAACACAAAACTCCCAAACAACACAGCTTCAAATAATCTGTGGCCATCGCTGGTCAGAACATTAATCATCTGGATGGGAGAGAAAGAGAATCAGATTGTGCTGTCAGACCAGGTTAACTTTCACGAATAGAAGAGGATGTTTATTCTCCAAGAAACGCATCAAGTTTTAAAATGAAACCATGAAAAATATACAGTCATGGAAAAAATATTAGACCACCCTTGTTTAATGCCTGGTACCACTAAAGGTACATTTGTTTGGACAAATATAATGATAACAACAAAAATAGCTCATAAGAGTTTAATTTAAGAACTGATATCTAGTCATTTTCGATGGTTTTCTTGATAATAACCAAAATCACTTAAGTTCTTGCATCAATAGCTATGGCATTGTACTGCCAATGCTACAGTGCTTTTAGGCATTCCATGTTTTCTTTTCTGTTCTGTTTTAGTCACATGATACACACAGGAGTTAGTACTTGATTGCATAACTGTTGTTTTTGATGACTGCAGCCATGCGTCTTGGCATGCTCTCCACCAGCTTCTGACATTGTTCTGCTGTCACAGCAGCCCATTCCTGTTGCACAAATTCAAACAAATTTGCTTTGTTTTTGGGCTTGTGGTTCTCCATTTTGTGTTTGATGACTTTCCACAGGTTTTCAATTGGATTTAGATCTGGTGATTGAGCAGGCCAAGGCATGGTTTCAATGTTCTGGTTCTCCATCCAGGCTTTGACTGATCTTGCCATGTGGTCAGTCGTTTCCTGCTGCAACCAGCTAGCAATTTGGTAGTACCATGTTGGGCTTGTTTTTTCTTGGTTTAACGAACAGCTGTCTTGGAGAGCTTCAGTTTTTTCGCTCCCTGTCTCTCACTCATACCAATTTCCAGCAGTGCCAAAATGGCTGTCTTGTGGCTTCGCATAATTCCTTTGTTTTAGGCATTCTGTGAGCGTTGACAATTTCTGAGTTGTGCTACGGCTTGAATGTAAGCAGGAAACCACTGCAGGCCTTTGCATGCGCAGTGCTGCTTATGACATGAAATGGCCTGTTGAAAACGGGTGGTCTAATAATTTTTTCCATGACTGTACATTCTTTTTTTTACACTGCTGTCTTTACAAATGATAGGAGAAATGATTCTGGAGTGCAATTTTAAGATTGTTTAGTAAAGCATCCTTTGGGCAAATGCAGAAACACTTTCCTAAACAAGCGTTAACCTTATTGTACATGTGTAAGCCAGTCTTTTACCTCTCCCATTGAAATGCCACTTTGCACCCGCAGAGAGATGATTTTCTGAAAACCCATTGAAGAGAAGGCACCTTTCAGTCTGACTGCTGTGCGCAGGTTCAGTGCCCACAGCAAGGATATCAGGAAAGCTTTGAGAAACTCTGTGGTGAACAGTGCTAAAGACAAACCAACACCATGGATAACTGTGGAATTCTCTGGGTCATCAATATAGTTTAGGATCTCATAGACCAGAACAGCCTAAAAAGACAGAGAGAAAAAGACTTTGCAATACTTCACAACACAAATCATCAGACAGGATTAATAAAGCTTTTACACAGCATTTAACAGCCTCAGACAATATTGTTGTTGAAGTAAGGGTCACTGCGTGCTTATAGGTAAGTTCATAGTAACAGATATGAGGTTTTGAACAGTTATACAATAGAAACTTACAGCAATTACTGTTTTCTGCCACAAATGAAAGCATTCCAGCAGTACTAGATAGAGGTTCACGTAAACTCCTTCTAAAAATGTGAGTTAACTGCACTAGGTTGATTAATAAGGTCGAAGTCATCCTACATTGACATAAAGGTATGCAAGTGTAGGAACAGAAGTTATGGTTTGATTATCATGAAGAGAAACAATCATAATCTAAATGAAAGACATAGCAACACTCCACCATGTTGGTTCACAAAAATGAAAAGTCTGTGGAGTTTTAACTGTCTAATAATGCTTCATGGGAACTATGCTTATGGGCAAGTCTTGCTTCATATAGACTTAATTAAATTAATTAAGTGAACTTTGAGCTGTTCATTCAGCTCTTCATTTCAACTCAAAATTGTGCAAGGTGTCAGAACTCATTTGTTACACGAAAGCCAATGTAAAATAAAAATTTGATAACTAAAGTTCAATTAACAAGAAATAGTTGAAATATGTTTCTAACAAATTGACAAGAAAATATGAATTTTTTTGACTAAATTCCTGTATTGTGTTTTACAGTACCTAGTCTCTGATGGCAGATTTTAGCCAATCACAGGTGCTTTTCACTGATCAGATAAGAGAGGATAAATAGCAGCAATGTTCACTCTGAAAGCAGGAGGCAGGGGTACAGAGGTTTAGTTGCTGACTTAAAGCAGCTGTGTGTTTTCAAATTCTGATGGGTTTTTTTTCAGCCTACTGCAGGCCTAAGCCAGTGGTTTCTGGTCTTTTTAGCTTGTGACCCCAAAGCAAAAAGTAGTAGGTGTCCAATCAGATGCACTTTGTCAAGTTCAGATGAGCTGATTTCTTTCTCTGAGTACCACCAATGTAGAAGAGCTATATAAGTACAGATCATTTAACAGAACACAGACGACTCACCGGGCCCATGAATACCGCCACCATGGCAAGGATGCCGGCAATGACAGACACAAGCAGCCGGGTTCTTTGAAAGCGAAGGACCACACGTACCAAAGAGGCTTTCTCCAGGCCTTTCTTTGCCACTTCTTCATCCCACAGTCTGTGAAGTCTGGATGACACACACACTATGAACTTTCCCACAGTCAACAAGATTCATGACATCATTTGATTTTGACAGTTTACTCTCATTTAAATGGTGTATTTCCCAGATGTAAATATCAGCAGGTAGACTTGTGATTTGTCTTATTTGAAAGTGTACTGCAATTACATCCAGTGACAGTAGAGAAATGTGAATCAGCAAACCTTTCTTCACCAGTCTTAGCTGAATCCAAAGGAGACAAGTTGAAAGTAGACATGTCCAGTTTGTTCTTAAACATCGCCCACATCATGGGAGTCATCCAGGCAAAGGTTGTAAAGGAAAAGAAACCTGCCTCGTCCAAAGGGTGGGACCTAGTCAATAAGAATAGGGAAAAGCATTAAATACACAAGTATCTAGAATTTATCTGGAAACATGTTGCGACAAGTGCCTCCTAAGAGACAAGCTATGTCAACCATGAACTGACCGTGAAGAGGACCAACGGAAGGGTTTGAGGGTCTGTAGGCTCTGCTTGTATCTTCCAAATGAGGAAGGAGCGACTGTTTCACTGTTGCCCACATCATTATGTTCTTGACTGGAGACCACAGATCCAGTTCTCCATCGCACACCATTTTCTACCTAAAGACACAGAGACAGAGTGAAAGGCAGAGTTGAAGAGGAAGAAACAGAGAGTGTGCTTTTTTGCCAATATTCCAGCAGAAGAGTCTCCAAAAGTAGATCAAACACATCCCCAACAAAAACACAGGATGCCAGTAAAACAATAGAAGAGGAAACAATGTCAGGCAGCAAAAGCAAGAGCATTCTTGGAAGCTGCTGTTTTTTCTGTACTTACAAAAGAGACTCTGCGAGAACTGTTCTTCTCCAAAGAATATTCTGTCTTCATTTTGTCCTGTATTGAGGACAGCAAGCACGCAAAGTCACTATAATGTCAGTCAACATGATGTTTTAGGTCTGATTTACCAGATAGAGACTTTTAACACTATCAAAGTCTAATCAAGTCTCACTGTATGCTATGTAACATGTGAATACATCTGCCAGATTAGAATATATATATATTTATATATATAAATAACTAATGCATTATAGAGCAAATGTCATGCATCCTGTGCATTTCTATAAGCATTTAAAATGTATCAAGAAATATTAAGTGTATTATATACATAAAACTGTGCCTATACAGCATTAAAGGTTATATCAAAAGTCAGAAAGAAGACATACTGCATCATAAGGCTGAGCCAAAAACAGATCATGATAGATGATTCACAACCTGAAAGAACAATGGACTCATTTAACCAGCTGCATATGTTTAAATGTCATTGAACTGCAAGAGTCAGCAAGAGCCCTAAGTTGTTAAAATAAACATCTAAAAATACAGAGTGAATGAATTACAGGTGTCATCCTCATATCTGCCTCACACCTCTTTTTACTCTGTGTGAAGATTCCCACAGCCAAATAAAATGCACAGCCCAAAGGATGGTGTAACCTGTGTTACAGGTTAGTGTGTTTATAAAGAGCCCACAAAATTCTGATTTTAATACAGTTATAACACCTGTTGTGATGTATTGTGATGACCTGTTGAAGACAGACAGACTTGGTGTATTGTTGCCTAGAACATTAGGTGTTAAACCAACACCAAACCACAGATAACACAAACAACATGTAACTGAGTTTCTGAATAAACCCTAACTCTCACAATGATCACTAGAAGTTGAGCAGGCCATGTAGACACAGGTAAGAGGTAATCAGGACTTAGCACACAGTTTAATTGCGAGCCTCTATCTGTTTGTGAAACAGAGTTTTTTAAAGCAACATTTCGAAATTTTGTCTTTCAAGGTGCTGTAAACTTAGCATGTGCACATTATCACCCTAAAACACTGAGCAAGCAGATATGAAATGCTTCTGATTTCAGCACTAAATCGGAACCCTATAACCACTATTTCCAATTTATAAATAAGTAACATATGTCTGCAACCCTAAAGAGAAAACATGTAACATGCAGTTTAGCTTCATGAGACCTAAGAAATGGATTTTTTTTTGGGGGGGGGACAGACAAAACTAAAACACGAATAAAACATTGATTTTTACATTTAAATAAACATATTCAAAATATGTTAAATTCAGTTTTACTTTTTCAGGTAATAACTCTTAAACAAAATGACACAGCCAGAGTAACTTCAATCGATTTACAACTCAAAAACAAACCAAACAGCCAAAATTGATCTAAACTCATTTAAAATAACCTGACAGAAGGTTTTCTGTAAAGAAGAGCAATGAAGCAGAACAATACCTCAGTGCAGACGACCAGGAGGACTTTCTGCAGCTTGTTCACGCTGAAACTAAAGCAAACACTGAAGGGGCATTTAACTCTGCCTTGCATGAGCTACTGCTCTATAGATCAAAGGTTGAGCTGTTCAGAGGTAAATGTCCCATGCTCCTTCCATGGATGGTAATGTGGAAAAATGCCAAGCCAATTAAAATCAGTTTGTGATGGGACTAAATGAAAAAATTTAAGCAAACCTCAACAATTAAATAACAAATAAAAAATGCTTTTGAGCAGCGTCTAAAATATGATCATACTTTTATATGTGGAGGAAAGGATGCAAATATTCTGACACACCTTACGAAACCAGACGACTGCATGACCATGACTAGTAATAGGAGGCTCCCATGGCGTGTGAATTGGATAAATGTCATGCACACTACACACACACACACACACACACCCATCATCTCATAGCCTACTGACAGGACTTCATGTTGACGTGCTCAGGTGAATTAGCGTTACTTACGGGTCACTGTTTTGTTATAGTATCTAAAGCTAGAGAACAGCACAGTTCCTGGCAAAACAGACGAACATTCTCAAATGTATTCATAGCCTCCCATTAAAGACGCAAAAACAGCAGCTGTCACTGAAATAAGTTGAAATTGACAAAAGTAGTAATACATAAAAATTTAATGAAAATCATGACATTACTTTTGAATTCTGGTTCAACACAAATATTTAAAAAAGAAAGAAAGAAAAAAAAAACAAACAAGCATGATGGGACCTGTAAACTAATATTTTGCTGAATAGCCTTTTGAGCCAATCACTGCAATCAGGTGTTTTCTGTAACTCTCAATCAGACTTCTGCACCTGTTGACAGGTATTTTGATTTTGGTCCACTGCTTATCAGCAAAGTGCTCTAATTTGTCTGGGAAAATCTGGTTGTTTTTTGTTTTTTTCAAATTATTCTTTTCAACCACAATTCAAAAAAAATGTCTTATGTCACTAAATTAGAATTTATCAAATTTTTATTTTTTATTACCTTTTTCAGTTTCTAGTTATTTGAATGACTCGTGAATTTTGCCTTTTCTTTAATGGAAGGGTATGAATACATTTGAGGATGATTGTATATTGTCACAGCATTTCTCACATCTTGGCAGCTGTATGAAGGGATCTAATTCTTGCTTGACTCATTTTAATCAATTGTTTGACAGGGGTTTGGAGGGGTCATAGTGGCAGAATGGCAGCGACGCCTCTGTCAGTCTGCCCCAGGGCAGCTGTGGCTACAATCGTAGCTACCACCAGCGGAATGAATGTGCGTGAATGAATAATTGACAGGGTTAAGCTGAGTGCCTAGAAACGCCTTATCTAAATCTGATCAATCATTATAAACTCTTAAAGGTAAACCCCTCTGATTTGAAACCTGCTGCAACTACACTTTGATCTTTTCAGCATTTTCTTTATTCTAGATTCTGAATTGAGAGTGAATAATGCTCCTTGCTGTGTAAAATCGCACTCATGTCATTATACTGACATGAGTGCAATTATAGTACACTTGAACTAATACAAACTCCAATTCCAATGAAGTCGGGGACATTTTGTAAAACAGGGCAGCTGTACACTCACTGGCCACTTTATTAGGTACACCTGTCCAACTGTTTGTTAATGCAAATTTCTAATCAGAGAATCACATGGCAGCAACTCAATGCATTTAGGCATGTAGACATAGTCAAGACGATCTGCTGCAGTTCAAACTGAGCATCAGAATGGGGAAGAAAGGTGATTTAAGTGGCTTTGAACGTGGCATGGCTGTTGGTGCCAGACGAGCTGGTCTGAGTATTTCAGAAACTGCTGATCTACTGGGATTTTCACACACAACCATCTCTAGAGTGTACAGAGAATGGTCTGAAAAAGAGAAAATATCCAGTTCTGTGGGCGCAAATGCCTTGTTGATGCCAGAGGTCAGATTGGTTCGAGCTGATAGAAAGGCAACAGTAACTCAAATAACCACTCATTACAACCAAGGTATGCAGAATAGCATCTCTGAATGCACAACACATCGAACCTTGAGGTGGATGGGCTACAGCAGCAGAAGACCCCACCGGGTGCCACTCCTGTCAGCTAAGAACGGGAAACTGAGGCTACAATTTGCACAGGCTCACCAAAATTGGACAGTAGAAGATTGGAAAAACGTTGCCTGGTCTGATGAGTCTCGATTTCTGCTGCGACATTCAGATGGTCGGGTCAGAATTTGGCATCAATAACATGAAAGCATGGATCCATCCTGCCTTGCATCAACGGTTCATGCTGGTGGTGGTGGTGTTATGGTGTGGGGGATATTTTCTTGGCACACTTTGGGCCCCTTAGTACCAATTGAGCATCATGTCAATGCCAAAACCTACCTGAGTATTGTTGCTGACCATGTCCATCCCTTTATGACCACAGTGTACCCATCTTTTGATGGCTACTTCCAGCAGGATAATGCGCCATGTCATAAAGCG